CCCAGGTAGTCTTCAAGTTACGATCACAATTGAGCCCAAAACCGTTGTTGCTAAGTGAAACATTTGTTAAGTTAATTTTGCCTTATCTTCCAACTTTTCTTGCCACAATTGTTAAGGGAATCTCTTCAGTTGTTAAATTAGTAACCCGGTTATTAAGTGAATCTGGCTTTTCCACCCTCCCCATTGACCTTGTTTGTCAGACGATCGCAAAAGCTGATCACATGACCCCAGGACATTGCAGCCCACATACCTAAGAACCAGTCTGAGTTTTGATCATGTGACTGTAGGGATGCTGCATGAAAAACAGCCATGTCACTTTTTTCAGCCCCCTTTGAAACGGTTACTAAATGAACTGTTCTGGAAGTCAAGGACTACCTGAATTTCCATGATGCCTGAGTGCCCCCAGAATCCTTCTTAGAAAATGAAATAGTGTCTGGTTGCTGCCCAGGCTGATGTTCATCTGACCCATGTTGGATGACTTGCTCTCAAAATCCCAAATGTGCCCATCAAAAAAGACTTAAGAGCCCAGAGAAGGAGCAGCTTGCCTAAAAGCTATGCAGTCTGCTTTGTGACTGAGGAAAATGTGACCTTTTAGTTTATCAAAGGCAAGGCAAGGTAGTCCTCGACTTACAACAGTTCGTTTAGCAACCTTCGAAGTTACAACAGCACTGAAAAAAGTGACTTATGAGCATTTTTTATTCCCATGGTCATGCGATTTACCTTCGGATGCTGGACAACTGGCTCACATTTATGACTGTCGCTGTGTCCCAAGGTCATGTGATCACCGCAAAGCAACGGGAAAGCCAAGTTCACTTAACAACTGGGTTATTAATTTAACAACTGCAGTGATAACAGACGCAGCAAGAAAAGTCGCAAAAATGGGGCAAAATTCCCTTTTCTCACTTAGCAACATAAATTCTGGGCTCATTTGTGGTTGTAAGTGGAGGACTACCTGTATATGTGACTGTGGATAAATGAAAAAGCATTTTTCAAACCCTCTTTGATTACTTTTCCACCTAAGAAATGTAAAACTCGTCTTAATGCACCACTATGATAAACAGGTTAGTTCAGGTTACAGCTTTTCAGAGGTGGAGCAGATATGGAGGTTGTACTTTTTCACTTTATGTGCCAACTTTTTATGTTTGTGTCCTGGAAAGCTGGAAAAAACAATAAATCTGCAGTATTACACTAGATCATCCGAAGGAATAAACTACAAGAAATGGAGGCGTTAATGTTGGTAACCATAATCTCCCCCACCTTGAAATATATAATTTATTTTGTAAGGAGGGGGCCTCTTAGGCCATGAAATCAAAACTTCTCTTTGTTGTTGGAATCCAGATTTAAACTATCTATGTGTTTATCCAATGAGGTGATAGAGAAGCCCTCCTATGCTGTGACACTGCATTTTTCAGGAAACTTCTCCAAAAAGGCAGCCAAAATCTGCCTTTTTACAAATATAAGATGAATATAGCTGTCCCGGGATCCAATCTGTTGCAGGATCCAATCTGGGTCAGTCTCCAGAACCAGAGGTTTGGTCTTCCGAGTTTTCAGATTTAAAACCTCAAATCAGAAAGCTCAGAAGACAAACCCTCTGGTCCCGGCGACCGACCCAGACTGGATCCTGCAGAATCTGCCTTCCTGGAATTGTTAATACATCCATTATTGTATTTCTAGAGCGGGGTCCAGAAAGACTTGTGGACTTCAACTCCCAGAATTCCTGAGCCAACATGACTGGTGGAGGAATTCTGGGAAGTGAAGTCCACAAGTCTTAAAGCTGTCAAGGTTGGAGACCTCTGTTCTAGAGTCTTATTTTAATAGGAGCTCTTCGCTGTGGCGTTTCTTCGGGTACAGTCTAATATGCAAAGTATAATATACAGAGTCTGCATATATATTGGTCACTCCTGTACAAACTTCGTTGGGACCAAAGGAAGTTTACTGTACTGTATTCCTCAGCGGGAAGCGAATTCCCGAGACACCCTTACGCTCCCTTCGCCAAATGGCGCCACAGTCCGCCTCCCCAACACGTCTGGCTAACGCTTTGCTCTGCCTGTGTGGGTTCGGGGGGGCGTCCGGGGAAAGAAAGGGGAAAAATCGGGAAGGAAGGAGGGTCGCCGAGGAGCTGCTGCTGCTGCTTCTCTTTCCAGCCGCGGCGGCTTCGGTTCTGCTTACCCAGCCGGTCGACTCCATGGCAGCGATTCCTCCGCAGGTAAGACCGGAGGGCGGAATAAGCCGAAGGAGCTTCGCAGGTTCCTCTCGCCCCACGACCCGGTTCGTGAGAGCTCGACGCGCCTCTCACGCTTCTCGCAGCTTCGCCTGCTCCGAAGGACAAAGGGCGCCTCGGGCTTGGCTCGAGTTCCGCGATTGCGACACCCGCCCGTTCGTGGCTTTCTCTTAGGACGCGCACCTGCTCTGGGAAGGCATGGGGGATGCCCAAAGGTGGACACCCACTGGATGGCTGAGGGGAGAGGGTGGCCCTTGTTGGTAGCCCTGAAGGCCACCGGCCGTGGGACAGGCAGTCCCTGAGGGTCCCCCACCCCACCCCCTTGGATAATGCCCTTCTTCATTCACTTAATGATATAGGGTGTATATATATATTGGGATAGGGTCTTTCCACTCCAGTTTTTACTCCTCCTCCTCCTCAGTGCCTTAATATGATGAAAATGTATATTTTCAGTGAGATTGATCAGAGAAGACTGTCTGAGCCACAAAGAAAAGCTGTTGTGTATAGCAACAACTGGGCAGGATTGCAACACCGACTCATGCTTTGCTTTAGGTAGTCCTTGCCTTACAACCCAAAATTTCTGCAACCTTTTTGACAAGTAAAATCAATGTGGAAATCCAGATTCACTTAACAACCATTTTACTAATTTATCAACGGTGGCGATTGACTTAACAACCACAGCAAGAAAGGTCATAAAACGGGGGGGGGGGGGGGGGGGGGGGGCAGACGGACTCACTTAACAAATGTCTCACTTAACAGAAGGGCATTATCCAAGGGGGTGGGGTGGGGAACCCTCAAGGACTGCCTGTCCCACGGCCGGTGGCCTTCAGGGCTACCAACAAGGGCTACCCTCTCCCGTCAGCCATTCAGTGGGTGTCCACCTTTGGGCATCCCCCATGCCTTCCCAGAGCAGGTGCGCGTCCTAAGAGAAAGCCAAGAATGGGCAGGTGTCGCAATCGCGGAACTCAAGCCAAGCCCGAGACGCCCTTTGTCCTTCGGAGCAGGCGAAGCTGCGAGAAGCGTGAGAGGTGTGGTGAGCTCTCATGAACCGGGTTGTGGGGCGAGAGGAACCTGCACAACCAACTCAAACTTACAACCATTCCTGTGTCACATGGCCTTGGGACACAGGAACGGTCATAAGTTTGAGTTGGCTGTCAAGCACCTGAATTTTGATCACATGATTGTGGGGATGCTACAAAGGTCATAAGTGTGAAAATGGTCATAAGTCACTATTTCCAGGGCCGTTGTAACTGTGAACAGTCACTAAATGAACTGTTGTAAGTCGAGGACAGGTGGGATTGGGGTCCTCAGGGGTTTGGGAGAGCCCCTAGCTAAGATTCTGTGCAGTTCAGAGAACCCCCAAATCCCACTCCTGGCTGCCCCCACCCCGCCCCTCCCAGGAGACCCCACACGGCCCGTTTTGGATGCAGGTAAGTGCAGGGCGCATGTGGAGGCTCAGGAAGGACGAAAAACGGGTCTCCCGGAAGTTTGGGAAGGCCGGAAATGGGCCCGTTTCTGGCTTCCAGAGAGTCTTCGGGCCCAGAGAGGCTGTTTTTGCCCTCCTGAAAGCTCAAGGAAAGCCCCTGTAGCCCAGGGAGGGCAAAAACGCCCCCCCCCCCGGCCAGATCCACCCGGCAACCGGGCAGAGAATCCATTGCTAAAAATTTTGAAGCCCACCCCTGGTCGAGGACTACCTGTGCTCTCTTAATTTAGACAGAAGAGCTGCTGAATTCAAATACCCGAAGACAGCTAGTGTGCTGCCTTTTTCTATAGGATTCTCTGAGGTTTTTTAGGTGTCTGGTTTCTGGGGTTCTTTGGTTGGACAAGGAATGATTATAGAAATACTTTGTGCCTTGCATCACTCTTTGATGTAAAGTTGTGAATAGAAAGTTGGGGTATAAGTCCAGTTTAATAAACTCAGTTTAGTTCACATTTTAACAGGTAGGCAGACCCTTAGGGATGCATTAGAGAGTTGGGCCAATAGAAAGAAGAGAAATAGAGGGCTGGACAGCAACCTGGGCTGAGCTTAAAAAAATCTAAGAACTCTCAGTCTTTATTTGGAAAAGACATCAGTGGAAAATCAACATGTCGTTGTCTTTTGTTAGAGGAAAGCAGCGGGCAAGTGTGGAAAGCTTTATTTGTGCATTCATTGGATTAGGTTGTGTGTGCACAATCATCCTCTACCCCCCTCCCCCTGCTGCCCCTGCTGGTCCAAGGACACTAAAAGATTGGGACCGCTGCCTTAAAGCATCATTTGAAAATATATGGCAAGCATCTCAATTAGAAGTCTTTGTATATCCATTTATTTGCAACATTCATAAGTATGATGGTGAAAAATCTATACAGCTGTATAATTTTCATCAGGAGGCTGGACATTGTTGATCTAATGTGTAAATAATAATACAATCACATACATTTCTTGCCTCACAATCAGTAGTGCTGCTACATCCTTAACTTTTGTCCTTTTTTTCTCCTCCCTTCATTTTTTTCCTTTATGGAAAAAATATATATATTCATCTATATGATAAAGTTACTGTAAAAACAAGGTGCACTCTATTTTTTTTTTTTAAAGTTAGAACTCCTAACATATTCAGTGCTTTTACTACTGCTATCTGAATAATTCTTAATGCATACAGAAATTTGAACGTAAGCACACAATTAAGACAGTACTTATAGATGAATATTCCAGTATGAAAATAGAACAGTTACAGCTTTTTCTCTTTTTTCCCTTTTTTGACCAATGTAGCTCACACATCTAGGGGTCAGATACATGAACTAAGGAGTGCCCTTCAGAATTGTGCCTTTATTTAGTTGTCTTCTCCAAAGGTCTTCATGCCATACTTGATGAATCTGCAAAAATAAAGAAAGAAGCAATGACTATAGGCCAATCAAAAGCTGATCCTCATTAAATTACAACAAAGGAATGATTATGAAATGCTTAAGCTTTCTGGGAATATATTTAATTAAAGATTAACATTGACTGCAATTATTTTGATAAGATTCTAGAAACCCATTGCTAGCAGATGGCAACATCTCATCACAGTGCCAGTGTGAGAAGCACCTGCCATGTCTCTTGAGATCGTAGCCCAACTCCACTGTTAATGCAGAGACAGCCAGACCAACTGGAAGAAATGAGCTCTGACTAAAAAATAATAATAATCTGAAAATAAAATTGCAGGAGCTGGTAAAGAAAAGACTTCTCAAGATCCAGACTACTACTTGCAGTTTAAGGATCTCTGCATAAACATGCAAAGGAACCCTAAAAAGATGTTATCTTTTGCTTCCACAGTCCAATATACAGAACCACACATGCAGAAAAATATAGAAATCATTAAACCAGATTGCTCAACACAGGTCACAGGTAACTTACAAAAGAACCCTTGCAAAATTAACAACTTGAAAGCAAATATAGCTGGAAGGGCTTGGGGCTTTTTGAAAGCATGAATTATCCTTCTCTTTAGTTAACTAATATGAAGCAACCCTTTCCCACAAGCCCCACCCGCTCTTTCTAGTGAGAGCCCTGACAATTTGATAAATTCCCTCGGGGTTTTGTCAGGTCAGAGGTGGGAGTAACTTTGCTCCCAGGGACTGCAGATTATAAACTTGCTTTCTTGGTTCTGAAGAATGCTTTCCTAAATCAGATGCAAAGGCATTTTGGGTAGTGCAGGAGTAGACAACAGTAAATAGTTCTGTCATCTCTTACAACAATTTGATTGGAATAATTTATTGGTAATTGTGTTTGTATTTCCCATGGTGGCTTCTACAGTTAGTTGAATTTTAAAGGGCTGGAGCAGTATTACTTGATTGACTGAACAGAATTACACTGAGATTGTTTCTGCCCTCACTGATATATGGAAAGGGCAGCTATCAGTCTGTAACAGTTTTGTGCAAGTCCCTACAGATTAAGCTCAAGAAGAAAATCCAGATCAAAGTTGAAGAGCTGTTGTTAAAATGAATATAAGCGCTTACTATTTTTTCCATATATGTATTGACTGATCCAATCAGCAAAAGCAGCAACATTTGTATAGACTCCTGGATAGCTTTTTCTTCCACAACCAAAGCCCCAGCTAATTATTCCATTAAGGGTGTAGTAGCTTGAGTCTTTTGTGGGACAAACCAGTGGACCTCCGGAATCACCCTAGTGAAAAGCATACAGATTATGTTAACAAAATCTGTTTGTCAAAGAAGTATGTTTTCAGGGATTGTCACTATGATCTTAGCGTATAGGTTCTGAAATTGTCAGGAGCCAGGGTGGCGCAATGGTTAAAATGCAGTATTGCAGGCTAATTCAGCCCACTGCCAGGAGTTCGATCCTCACCAGCTCAAGGTTGAGTCAGCTTTCCATCCTTCCAAGGATGGTCAAGTGAGGACCCAGATTGTTGGGGGCAATATGCTGACTGTATACCACTTGGAGAGGGCTGTAAAGCACTATGAAGTGGTATACAAGTCTAAAGTGCTATTGCTATTGCTTTTTCAAATATCAGTTAGTCATAGTGACTACATGGACACATCCATCTGTTTTCTGACACAATATAGAGGTTGTTTGCCATTGCCTTCCTCCAGGGAGTTTTTTCATCTTCCCAATCTAATCTATAGCCATGACATTTCCTGGTAGTCTCAGATTCAAGTACTGACAAGGCAAGCTAGTTAGTTTTTTCAAGACCTGCCAAGTTTGGCATAACAATCAATGAGGAGTGAATAATAACATAACTCCTGTTGCCATCCCATTAATGTTTTCTGGTTATTTCTTATTCCTCTCACCATTTATCAGCAAATGAAAATGAATCCTGCTAAGTTTTGAAGACAGTGCAAGATAGCAGATGTTTGCTAATCTATTCTTCCTGAAAGATGCACGTTTTAGGAGGCAGGTCAGCTAAATAAGTCATAGGAATTGCTTCCTTAATGTTTTCCAACAAAACATTTCTCTTTAAGTAATCTATCAAACAGAACATTTTTTATAGAGACAAACACATTCTTTTGTTGTTGTTTATTTTATTGTTCTATTATTTTACTTTTGTTTACATGCCTGTTATTTTTCTTCTTTTGTATTATTGTTTACAGTAAGATAGGCAGCAAATAAATTTAACAGGTAAACAAACAAACAGTGTTTCGGAATGGCTGAATGGGATGTTCCTGTTAATATCAAAGGCTCCACATCTCTCTTTGTTCCATTGCAATCCATCCTGTACTGTGGAGGGTTATGAATAGGAGAGTTCTCTGCATATTTATCTAGGAAATAATCAGGGAAATCCACTAGATCAGAGTCTTCAAGGTGAAGCTTTCTCGAATAGGCAGAGAAATCTCCTTCATATCTGCTCATTTAATAAGGGGAGAGGTTGGTGGAGAGGGGAGTCAGGGGTGGCAATTGCAAGAATACAAAGGTAGGCTGATGGATCTACTGCAAAAATCTAAATATAACGTTCAGCATCTCTTTGTTGCCATCTAGTGGACGTTCTGATTTTTGCAGCCAACTTTGTAGCTAGTTCATAACCTCTATTAGATATGGAACTTTTTGTTGGGTGCAAAACATTAACAGAAGTAAATTTATATCTGTGAAACAATTCTATTGTCATTATCTTAGTATAAGTACAACTTCAGAATTTGGGAAATGCATATACTCCATAGGCAGCTTACTGTACATCCATCCTTTCCCCCTTCTGCAGGAAATCCAGCACAGAACATCCTTTCATTGACCACACCAGGATGGTTCACAAAGTATTTCTGACATTCTTCAGAAACCAAAATAGGAACTCTGAGTTGATGCAGTTTACTTGACTGTGCTCTATCTTGAGGGGAAAGGAAGAAAACAAATGGTTTACAATGGAGAAAGCAATAAGGCCTAAAGCCTTAATCTTTAAAAGGAAGATAGCAACTTGTGATATTCAATCTGATTTTATAGAACCCTTGGTCTAATTTAAAAATCCCTCTGTGAAATCACTTGGGACATCTGGCAAGAGTGATCAGCCCTCTCTGAGGAAGAAGAAGAGGGAGAAAGTGATAATAATAAAAAAGAGGGGGGCGGGAGGCAAAATGAAAAGGGAAGGCTTGCCTATCACTTGTTTGGCCCCAAGAGATTGCCTATAAGGAAATGTAATTGTTGATATAAAAAGGATCTTCTAACCCTGCCTTAATCTAACATGCTGAGTTGATACGTATCATCATTCTTACAGTCTATCATTACTTATTTTCTATATTTTTTTCATACACTTCCATGGCTGACAAATTGGATAAGAATCATTCTGGCTCATCAAGATATTTTTTCGATGGAATGGAAAATGCTTACCTTCATACTGATTGCCCCATCCTGTAATGACACAAATCCTTGAAGGTTCAATCTTCTCATCTTGCTCCGGGAGGCACACTGGATGAACATAGTGATTGAATTCTAAAGGCTCGGTAAGTTCCACTAGAGCAATGTCTGAATCCAGAGTACTGGTGTTAAAATCTGGATGTGCGATGTACTGCTTCACCAGTCTTTTCTATACACATGGGAAAATCATGGCAGCAAGTTATGTGAGAATATATGCTCATATATATTGGATATGTTTGTCAACTTGGGTGCATTCCAGTTGATCTGTCATCGATACAGCAGAGTTCAATATAGGTAGTCCTTAACTTACAACCACAATTGGGACCAGAATTTCTGTTGCTAAGTAGGATGGTTGTTAAGTGTCTCATGCCTGATTTTGTAATGTTTTATTTTGCCACAGTTGTTAACGCAAATCACTGCAACGAATTGATTCACACATTTATTAAGCAAATATGTTTCCCCAATTGACTTTGTTTGCTGGGAGCCAGCTGGGAAGGTCACAAATGGTTTTCAAGTGACCCCAAAAGGCTACAACCATTGTAAATACACACTAGTTACCAAAGCACCTGAATTCTGATCACATGATTGTGGGAATGGTGCGACAGTTGTGTGACATAAGTCCTAAATCACTTTTTCAGTGTCGTCGTAACTTTAAACCAGGGGTTGTCAAACCCAATCGCATTGTGGGCCGCATTTTGCCCTTTGCAGGGCTAGGGTGGGCATGGCCTATGCAAGCGTGTTTGGCATGCCTGCTTTAAACAGTCTCTAAACAAATGTTTGTAAGTCATAAATTATCTATTGCCATTTAGAAAGAAATCTTTTCTTTTCATGAGAGGCAAGAGCCTGTGATAGAATAAGATAGGTAAAATAGTAATCCACTATAGAAATTCAGTGCAAAGCAGGCCATATCGTAAAAAAGCATAACACTTTCATGCAAACCTCTTGCTTGCTTGAGACTTCTACCTTGTTACTTATTTATTTATTTATTTTGATTTGTCAGTTGCTTACAGGTTAATAGGTATAAGTAAAAACATAGTTATGAATACATGAATAAATGGATACATATAAGAAAAATAAAAAAAAATATTAAAAAATATAAAAGAAACAATAGGACAGGGACGGTAGGCACGTTAGTCCACTTATGCACGCCCCCTACAAACCTCTTAGGAAAGGGGTGAGGTCAATAGTAGACGGTCTAAGGTTAAAGTTTTTATTTTGGCAATAAACAGGCCTAAAATAAAGCTGGACTTAAGATTGTCAAAAAATAATAATAGCAAATTTACAAATTGGAGACGGGATTGTGTTGGAATACTGAGGTTCGAAAAACCCTAAATAATAAAACAGGGGGAAAAAGGTGAAGACTTTGCATAACGGAGAGTGCCATCTTCTGACAAAAACTTAAACTCAAACAAAAGGGAAATCATCCTGTTTCTGTATGAACTTATGTCGATATAATGTTAAAGAAATATTGAAACAAAGTAAGAATTTTAGAAAGCGAAAACGGAACCAGAATAAAGAAAGAAGCAAGGAGAGAATGACTGTGGGATTGATTGATGTTTTTGGTATAGACCCTGGGTTGGACCAATTGAGAACTTTAGAAAACTTGAAGAAGAAAGAAGGAAAGTAAAAGTGTTTTTTGTGGACTTCAACAATTATAAAATATAAGAGTGTGTAATGATGATATCTCTTCGGGAATTAAAAATGGAACTTAAAAATATGAGAGAATTACTACAGGAAAGAGGTGAATCACTTTGCTCTGTGTTAGAAGAAATGAAAATGGTGATTGAAGAACAAGAAGAAAGAACTTCAGAGGAGGAGGAGTTGACTCAAGGAGAAGCCATCTTAAATAGACAATTAACACAAAGAACACTACAAAGACAAGGGGAAAGAGGGAAGGTTAAAAAGTTGAGATTCAAGAAGATAATCAAAAAGGGGAATACCTGTGAAATCAGGAAAGGTAGAAAGGTGCAGCAGAAAAGGGGAAAGGAAGATAATATGAAAGAGAGGGATATAAACTGGAATCAGAAAAGATATGGGAAAAAGAGGGGGAGGAGAGGCAGTAAGAAACAGGTGCAGGAAATAAAGAAACATGGAAATAGTAAAATGATGAAAAGAAATTGTTTTTTCAGAGATAATGGTTGATGAATTAAAAAGGGGATTCTGCAGGGTGACAAGGAATAACAAGAATATATTTGCTATTAAAAATATTTAGAAAATAGGGTAATATAGATTATTAAAGGAGGGATAGATACTGATAAATTCTTATTAGATGAATATTCATTTTTATCCTTAAAAGAAAAGTTAAGGTCTATTGAAGAAATTGTAATAATTGAAATGAATGTGAAGATGTTTAAAAATGAGGTCAATATCAGTGACCAGGAATTGAATAGTCAATCTTTCCCTTTTACCTCTTTGAAATTAGAAATAAAATTAAGCGGGGAAAATATATTGCGGAATCCAAATGAAAAGACGTAATGATTATTATTTTAATTACTTAAAAATAAAGGTTTATTGGGAATTAAGATGAGGGAACAAAGGTATATTTTAACTACTGAGGTGTCACACTCAAAGCAGTAAAAGTGGGGAAACCTATGCTTGTTTCTTTTTCTTTTGTGTTAAAACTTGTATTAATCTAGAATTTATAGAAAGAATGTGTGATGGAAAGAAAATATGACAGATTAAAGAACTATTTAAATTAATAAGCTAATACAGACTATTAAAAGGAAGGAGAGACATTGGTAACATTTTTTTATTAGGCAAACATATATTATTATTTTTGTTTTTAAAATAAATATCAAAGGATTATATTTGAAATAATTGAAATGAAATGAAGGGATGTTTAGATTGAGATCAATATAAGTGACTACAATTAATTTGCTTGTTTCTCTCCTTTCTGAAAGTTCGGAATGGAGAAGGTAATAATAGAATTAAGTATGCATATATGAATGTATAACTATTGTCATATTTGTACGCAAAAGTGATGACCCGGAAATATGTGTGTCCACTAAAAAGAGCTTTTTGTTTTTATGTGAAAAATTGAATAAAATTTGTTTAAAAAAAAGTTATGAAGGCATCTGCTCCTTATGATAGGAATAGTATAAGAGTAGTGCAGGAAGGAAGCATTCACTAGGTGAAGGGGTTAAATTCCGTGGGGCTTGTGGCATTGTTTATAACACCTGGAAGGCTGGGACTCAGAGCTCTCTCACCTGCCTCCTCTAAAGTGACTTGAACATAATCATTACATCTTCCTGATCCTGGCATCAAATTGCCCAGAGTTTTTTTGTTTTTGCTTTTTTGTTTTTTTCAGGACAGGAGTGTGTAACTTTTTAAGTCAAAGGTTGCATTTAGCTTTTGATAGTATGCTGGGAGCCACGTACTAAAAAGTTTGTAGGCCCAGAATAGATTTGATTTAGTTTTATCTAAATTTAAGCATTAGCTATAATTATTTCTTCTCATGTATTTAATACTCAACCATCCATCACATTAAAAATAATAGTCCCCTTTGTTGAAATTATTACACTATAGCCTTTACTTACAGCATTAACACTTAAGCTGCAGATAATACACCTGTGCTTTTTAGATGTCCTAAATAAACTTATCCTACATTACTGGGTGGCTAGGTATATTAAAGACATCAGCTAAAGAGCAAGACTCTTTTTTATTAATTGTCCAGCATTATTAAATAGTACAGGAAGTCTTTGACTTACAATCACTCTAGGAACCAGAATTTCAGTCCCTTAGCAATGCAGTTATTAAGTAAATCTTAATGTGACCAAACCCAATTTTACAACTGTTCTTACTGCATTTGTTAAGTGAATGATACAATTATTCAGTTAATTTGACTTTCCCCATTTATTTGTCGAATAAATTTTTAAAAACAATACATTTTTATGCTTTTCCACTAGGAAGGTTGCAAATCATGATCATCTGATCATAGGACACTGCAACCATCATAAACATGAGTCCTATTGTAACTTCAAATTGTCACTAAACGAATGATCATAAGACAGGGACTGCCTGTAATGACAATTTTCAAATGTACATCTTATCTGTAGACCTGTGTTTCCCAACCTTGGCAAATTAACGGTGCGTGAACTTCAAGTCCCAGAATTCTCAGCGATGGTTATGGTGGCTGTGGAATTCTGGGAGTTGAAGTCCATATACCTGGGAATTGCCACAGTTGGGACCCCTGCTGTAGACCATTCAACACAGGCAACTTTTCATCATCTATCAATCAGCTCAACACAGAGTGGAACATTTTTGCTTCAGTGATACTCAAGGTTCCCTAGGATCAGATAATTATCAAGTCTCTACATTTAATTATTCATATTCCAACTCCTTATTTACTACTAGATAATAAAACACAATAAAAAGATAGATAATAAAAAGAAAAACAAAAAGCTAGAAAAACAAAGAAAGGAAACAATACCTGGAAATCAAAGAAAGCCATTTTCTAGCCTAACTGTCTTAGCTATGGTAAATGTAATCCTGCAGCAGAACCAAACACTTTAAAAAGCTCAGTTAGGCTAGAAGCTATTTGCTGATCCAAATAGAAATCATAGCTAATAGTGTAAATATTTTAACAAAATATTTCAATGCTTAAACCAAACAAGTTTGACAACTTCCACATTGCTTCAAAATCCTGTAGGACTGGCTTTACCAGAAACATGCTTCTGTATTATAAAATGCAAAATAGCATCTAAACCGTTTTCAGTTCAACTAACAAGGATCACTTTCCTTAAAAGAACTGAGGCTCATAGATTATATAGACTACTACAAGTTCACAGTCAACTCACATTATGTTATAAAGAAAGAACAACTTGTACTAACTTGGCTGCTCTGATCTTGCTCTTTTATATCATGAGTGGCCACCACCACTCTCCAAAGATCTTGATATTTTCCCCTAGAAAAACAATATAATTCAAATATTGCTTTAATCAGCTCAAGCATAGCATCTCTCATAACTCCCCTACACAGTTATTCATTGGTAGATAAACAAAAATACTAAATTTGAAATAAGAATCCAATACCGATCACAAACCAAGTAAGTTCACATTGCCACTAGGTATTGTAATACGATTATATAATAAAAAAATATTCAATATATTTACTATGTCTAAAAATGTCCAGTCATTTGAAAGGGAATAAAACTTCCAATTTATTTCATAGAGTAATGAGAAGAAATGAGAATATAAATGTTACGTATAAATGTTGTAACTGTCATGTAGCAACAGGCAGCCACATAATTATCAATAGTTATCAAAGAGGGACTTTGTCATTAAATCCAAAGAATTCATTAATATCATGCCCAGTTAATGTAGTTAAATTTGCAGAAGAGAGTTGAGAGTTAGATATTGGTATAATGAGGTAAGGCAAGCCATGAGTATGATTGCCCTGAAATTGAATCAGAATTGTAGGAAGACCTTAGCAGAATTAAGATACAAAACATTGGTCTTCAGAACTGGACAGCATTTGTCAAATGTATTGTGGTGGATTTGATGAAATATAGGTAAAAACATGGTAGACATATAGGTTATCACTAAACTACTAAACTAAAACTAAACTACTAAACTACTGTCAAACTACTGTCAAATCACTCTGGCTTAAGTCAATGTGTCTACTTACCTGGGCAATTGTAAGTAGTACAGAGCATTGCACTGTAATTTATGCATTTGTTCATATGTTTTCTAGATTGAATAGACTGTTTCTGTCAAAAATAGAGCATCCGTAGTGTACTTACTCTTTTTTTAAACAATGAGCAGCAGTAACAATCCATGTTCTTGTGAGAACAGCTCCACCACAGATGTATTCATCCAAAATCTGCAAGCTGGCCTGCCAAGGCCAAGAATACGGCACAGCTTCCTCACCGCCAACTATCCGACTAAAGAGAAATCTAGGCTGGTTGGATGCTAATCCACAGTTATCATCTGCTGACAAAGAAAATGTGAACACAGAGCACAACATTTCTTCATAGAAAACATAATGCTATTTATCCTTGGCTGATTCTTTAGATTGCTTAGGATGCTGTACTAAAGAATTCTGGAAGATGAAGTTCACCTGTTTTAAAATTGTCCAGGTTGAGAAGCACTGCTCTAGGCAAGCTATCATTAACAGCAACACAACATTGGGGATTTGCCAGTCTAAAAGTTGGTGTAAAGAAAAGTAGGGGAGGCATACAGTGTCTGTCCCAAATGAACGGTCTTTTTCCAAATGGATAGTAAATCCATTGGATGACCTTCAGTTAGCATCTATACATCAAATCCCTAGTCATTCTACAAGTTTGCAATGGCCAAATGATGGCTATTGCATCCCATCTCTATCCATAAAGAGGAAAGTCAGTGGCATTCCATAATTCTTGCTAAAAAAAATACTTGATGATCCAGTATTATGGGTTATCATCCATCTTTTTTTCTTTTTTCTTTTGCTCTTCATTAAAGCCTTTCCATTATAATGGAGCCTTTGTGCAACCCAAATAGATAGAGGGTCAGACTGGCCAATATTCTATAAAAGAATGTACAAAAATTCAAATTTTAACTCTGTGAAGTTTATTGTTAAATAAGTGGATTCATCCATGAATTACTTATTAGAGCAACACAGTTTCTACCTAGATTTGATGAGTGACAATAGAATGCTTACAGAAATTTGTATATAATTATCATTCTGCATATGTTATACTACAGTATATGTCACATTTATTCCAAGAATATTTACAAATTAAATTCTGGATTTTTCTCTGCTTTCCTTTTCACCTTCTTTGTGGTTATTAAAAAGAGTTTCAGGAGAAGCATATTTACCAGGCATGTCTGTTTCATTTGCAGGCTCACTGATTTCTTCAAGTATCACTCCACTGCTTGAATTTGTTACATTTAAATCTAATCAAACCAGAAGAAGAAGCACACATTATCAGTATTCCTGATGTTATTCAGCTTTCACCAGGAAAGATAAAAAATTCAGTTTACAACTATGTGTATATGTATGTATATGTATATATGGTTTAATTTATGGTCTGCAGTTTGGAGCACCATGGCTTCATTACGTATCTATATTTTCCTATTTTACTACACGAAAGGTGTATTAGTACAAAGGATTAGTACAAAGGACACCTGGAGTAGCAGATGAAACTGGTACATAAAATCAATGTTAAAGTAGTAGTGGTCCTTAATTATCACCATCACTCCATCCTCTTAATAATTAGAACCAGATTTCCTCAATCTGAAGCAGTTAGTATTGAAAGCCCAAATCTGAAGAAAATCAGGTTTAAGATATGTCATGTACCATGACTTAGATACATAGAGGACAGTGTTGGTATACTGTAAATGCAGAATGACAGGTTTTCAACTTGGCTCAAAATTCAAGATTAACTTTCACCTTGAAGGAGGTTTCCACAATTACATTTCCACAACCACTTAGATTTTCTAATATCAAAGTTAGCCTTGAGATACATAATTCAGAGACTAGATAATAATATTGCTAATAGAAACTACTTATATAGTTTAATACATTTCCATCAACTAAGAAAACAATATTGAAAGAACAGTTTGTCCAAGGCTATATAATAAAAACAGTAGAGGCAAAGCCAACCCTGATTTAAAAGTATTTTTTCTGAACGTCATTCCAGAGACTATACTTTAAAAAAGAAAGTCTTAAAAAAATAAAATGGCGCAAGATATAAAATAATATATTTATTTATTATTATGTTTATACTTCTTAACATTTCCCATGGAGAGTGGCTTTGGGCAGTGTAAAGTTTAATCAATAAAATGAAACATTAAAATCAACATAATTTAGAATTACAAAATTTAAAATCATAAAACAACATTATAAAGAAGCAATACACCAAGATGGGGGATTAGCAGTTTTTAATAAGGCAGGGAGGTTCTCATGGGGTCAGCCAGCCACATAGTTGTGTAGGCCTCTTTTTCGTCATCATCCTTCAGGCTACATAGCCAGGTTTTGCAGCAGGCCAAGAGAATGTGGGCTTTCCTCACTGCTGAGGGTAAGATGTTCCACAGAGCAGTCCTATTTCACAATATATCCTAGAAACGCTCAAATATGATGGTCCAAAAGCTTCAGTACAGGTGTTCTTTAAAAGGCTACAAAACAGTCAAGAATATTGTACAGTACCTATGTTCGGTTCTATATAAAAACCACCAGAGTTACCTTGAGGTAAGATGGGCAGCCTATACATTTTATAAACAAAGAAACAAATTATGGCTTTGGTTTTCCAGGAATGGCAACCATGACCAGCTAACTAGGAGTAAGAGCAACTTCAGGCAATATCTTATGCCAAGTCATTAGTGGATCATTTAGCCTGGTTTTATCAGCACTGATTCACAAGCTGTCTAGATTTTCAAATAATAATTTTTCCGTCCCTATCTGGATATTGCAGGGACTGGTTTCTGAACACAATCTGAGGGTTAGAGACTATCCATGCTAACAATTTTGCAACATCATCTAGACATGGTTGTGGTGATATTAAAGCTTCTAAATTATTGATAAATTGCAGTAGGTGATTGTAGTAATAA